GGCAACTAAAAATAATATTGTCGACGACATCAACTTTAGTATTCATAAGAAAATTTAGAACTGGCAAGAACTCCTTTTCTTTTAAGTTTGGGCATTGTATAAGGTATAAATCAAATCAACTTTTTATTAACAAATACACTAAGTACACTTTACACAGTTTTCACACTCTATTTTCGATTAGTCACTGTATCACTTTGACTACTCACACTCCACTGTTTGTTTTTATTCACTCACCGCACTACTTCGGAATCTTCATTTCTTTTTCGGTTGTTCCGTTCGTCACTAATAAGAAACGGACGTTCGAACCCACGACAGATCTTTCTTTACATACCCTCACCAATGGGTAGTCCCACCCATAAAAAAAGGCTTCGAATGGTCTACAATGTTTCAAAACGTTCCACAACATTCGAGAGTGTTCTGGAATGTTCCACAATGATCTGGGATGTTCCAGATGTTCCAGAACATTCTGGAATGTGTGGAATACTCTTGAATATTCTCGAATGTTCTGGACTGATCTAGAAATTTATAGTGGGCAAAAATTTTCAGCCCTTATATCTTCAACATCACGCCCTTCGGGTAAAAACGGGAACGTTCTTCATGGATGGGGGATAGAGGGCTACCATACCATATAACTCCCTTGATCGTACCGAAACTCGTTTTCGAGTTTTAGCGGCACGCACATTGTACACTTACCTTTTTAATATATATTGATATTGATGATTATGAAACCTCTTGCCAAAAGTATCGTACCGCTTTTCAAATATATTGATTATTGTACTCTTGATTGTATATAACGATTTTTAGTTAAATTATCCAAATTTCCTGTATTTTTACTTAAAATTTAACATTTATTTAACAAAAGTTATACGCAATGGAATTTAAATGTTTTAGCATTAGAAAAAAATCTTTTACATGAGTAAAACTAATTTTACACCAGCAAAATATGTTGACAAAAATATTAAACCATATGAAGTATATTCAAAAATATTTCACAATAATATTTGTTAATTATAGAATAAATTTGAAATGTTTTAATAAATGTTCATAAGCATTGATGAATCCAGAAGTTTACCATTTAACCATATAAACTTGAAGTATACAACAGCATTATAAGTTGTAATAAAGAGCAGGAAAATTATTGAAAACTTCGAATAATATTATTATTGAAACAACATATGTTTCAGAGAATTGCAACACTACTAAATGTAAGTAAAACATGTAAAACGTTTATTCTGTTGAGTCCACAAAGCGGGCCTAAAGTAAAATGTGAAATTTTTACTTAGCATAATAATTTGAAGCTGTATGTTAGCAAATGGAGTAGGCAGAGTTTGCATTTCGAATGGTTCTATAAACAGTGATTTATATCAAGATCGAAATGCTATAGTAATTTAAAATACCTATTAAGAAAATATTTGGATACAGTGAATACTTTATTAAGATAATGTTTTTGTCACCAAAGCAAAACATATAAGTAGGGTTGTTACAAAACAGTATCGGCACTATAGACTGGCTATCAAACTGAAGTTTGGAATAAAATTACACCATATTAGTGTCAACGTCCTTAAGATCAAATGCCAAAAAAAATTGAAGCTTTAATAAAAGCCATAAGTGGTCGTAGAAAATTTTTAACAAATGCTATCTAATATTTTTCTCAAGGAATCTTACTGGTGTAAAATTTTTGTCTCACACTTGCAAACGATTTAACTTTTTTAAATATTTAAACACTTTAAATTTTTATTGAGTGAAAGCTTTTCTGTTAAATAAATATTGAATTTTAAGGAAAAAAATAAACAAAATTTATAGAACTACTCTGAAAAGAATTATGTGCAATCCAATGTACGAAATCAATATTTTTGAATGGCAGTAAAATACTTTTGGCAGGGAGTTGTATTTTGTAAAAGACTACTTTCATTTTTTTCTTTTGCGCATGACATTATGTTTCAAAAAAAATCATTTCGCCTTGTGTAAGAAAGTCGTTTGTTTTTACGTTTCTGATGAAGATTATTACAAGTAATCACTTGAAATCTTGATTTTTTAATGTTTTCAATGTAAGATCCTGCAGACAGAATAATTTTATTTAATAACGCAAAAACTAAAGTATTATTTTCTTCTTAAAAACGCCACATTTTTGTAATTTCGCGCGGAAAGATGAGAAAAAAAATTTCCTTTTCGACTATCCTTGTGATTAATCCAGGATTGCCAAAGGATTGTGATAACATCCTTTGGCAAGATGTTATCACAATGGTTGCTGAACATCTGGTAGCACGACCCTTCAGTGTATCCCGTCATATGACAAAAACCTCTCTCAGGACAGACACTCTCATAGAACCTAGTTGGCCAAGCCCTCATTTGTTAGCTTCTCCCAACCCTCGTTTATCTCCAGACCTTGACTCTCTTGTCATCGCCTATCACTGAAAGATCGGTCGAACAGAAAGAACTAGTATGCTTAAACAAATGTGAACTCTCTCTCTCGGTAATTGAAGGTGTACTTAGTTAGTCTCTTGACGTAGATATATTTTTATGTTATTTGTATTTATCCATCGCTTTACTTAACTTATTAAACTTTTGTTTATTTGTTTGATTTCATTCGATTTATTGTGAGGCCGGACTCCTATCGACGAACGCACCGATCCGAACTTAGCGATATGCTCAAATAGGAAAGTTTCTAGATATAGACCTTTATAACGCGAATAAAGAAGCGTTTGAACTAATCCTAACTGGTGTCAGATAAATAGTCAACAAGATCTCCCTATCTTGGAGACACATAAATATAGCCCTTTATAGCCATCCACTAACAAAGTGAGCGGGCCTCACAGTACCGATTTCGGAAGTAGGTGAATCGAGTAATAGAATCATCACCGAGGATTCTCACATCAAGAACGTCCTTGCCGTAAAATACTCTTGTCTGTTTGTACAATTACAGTCCAGTTTGATACTGAATTAGAGATGTATTCAATGATTTACATTACATCAGAACTATTGTACGATAGTGTTGTGTTGAAAATAACTAAACTTACAATCAAATTCTAAACATTTGAATCGAATTGAAATGTACAAATCGAGATAAATTACGAATAACAAATCGGTGAAAAAGAATACAAGTCGACCCCCGTATAACACTGTTGATTATTCCGTTTTATATGAATTCCATGTTGTACGAGTTACTTAGATTTTACAAATACGTGAGCCATTCACAGCCCGGCACACGTTTTGTAAAATCTAAGTGACTCGAACAACATGGAATTCATATAAAACGGAATAATCAACAGTGTTATAGGGAGTTCGACTTGTACGTGACTTTCGCTTTCTGCAAATAAATAAATAAAAATTTGTGTGATGATGGCCATTTATAAATTTTAATTGTGACTTATACACAATTTGAGATAAAAGAACAAGATCTATTCAAGAATACGAATTTAATAATTAATTTTAATAATGAATACATTCGAATTTTTTAATGTTTAGATATAATTCAAATTCTTATTTATTTTATAAGGTTGGCATCAATTTAACTTTATTTTACATTCACTATTGGGTTTATTTTTCAAAATAAAATTGGATGGTGCAGGGCTGCCACCCCATAAATATCTTTTATTTTGTCGTTTATACATAGTGGTGTTTGTAAATTTATTACTGTTTGAACTTTCTATAATTCTTCTTCTTTGTAGTTGATATGGAGATTATAGCTCAAGATAGGCTCTTTCTCCGATTGACGTTTATTGATCGCTATGCGACCGACGAGCCAGCCGTATCCGAAGGGCCTAATCGCGCGCGCGGGGAAACAATGCCTTCCGGAAGGACTTTTATGGGGAATTGGCCTGTCCGATCGCGGCGCGATCCCACGACCGAACTTCCCAGTGTTTAGGGTCTGATTACCGCTATGAGCGGCAACGGAGACCACTCGCCCACTGGTGGGTCCCAGTGTTTAGGGTCTGGTCACCGCTATGAGCGGCAACGGAGACCACTCGCCCACTGGTGGGGGACGTTCTACAATTTAATTTTAACTAGATTTTTATACAGTTTTTACAACTGTGATCCCTGTTAATTTATTAACAAACGAGTCTCATAACTCTCCTGAGAAAAGTCAAAAATGAGAACTAGTACGGTAACTGTAAGTTAGAACCAGTTTTGTCCTGTGTTTTTTAGCAAGAACGACAAGCATAAACATTAAGCTCATTTGTTACATAACAGGAATTTTCACGGTTTCTTGTTTTTTATAACTTTTTAGCGACTAATCTATAAAAAATTTAATTAATACATTGAATTTGTAAGAATAAAGAAGCTTGATCATTATGTAGCTATTCATTACAAATGTACGTTGTTACGCATTTGTTAAATATTATTACAATAAAAGGTTTATCACCCTCATGAAAATATTAATGCCTTATATCTCTTAAAATGCTTTTTTAGTTTTTTAGGTACCTTTCATATAACTATTTCATTGTAATAATATTCTGCGTATTTGTAACAAAGTATATTTGTAATAAATATCTTACAAACGGATTAAGTGTTTTTTGTTAATTAAACGTTATGTGAATATTAGAGCTATAATACCTGAATGAAACTTTTGAGTCAACATAACATGAATAAAAAAAAAATAAATTACGTTTGGTTTATACATCACTGGATAGCTTTTACATATTTTATCGGGATTCGACAAAAATATAAATATAAACAAAACAAACAGTTAGCTTAAGTTTTGGTATGGCGTAATGCATGAACAGCACTTTGTCATTAAGCGTAAAAAGTAGTATTAATGCTATTTAGTATTTCACATGAAGTTTCGATTATGCGGAGGTTGTGGAATCCATTAGTTGCATATGGCAAATTCTTACTAAATAAATAAATTGCATTTTTATCGTTATAAAATGTCTATTATTATTAAAAAGTAATAAAAAAGTAATACAATGAGAATGTTTTGCAAGATGTTATCACAATGGTTGCTGAACATCTGGTAGCACGACNATATTACAAACATATATATATAAAATAATACGTACCTTTATCAACGCAAAACGAAATGTCCACCTTGATTTCTTTTACATTATTGTGAGGTAGAAACACAATCGTAAAGAGATGTCCATAGTACGATACGTCATAAAACATATTCATTTCTTTTAAATATATTACCTAAAAGTGTTATTAACAATTATATGAAAAACCATTAAATACAAAAAGTTATAATTTATCACATATCAAAAGAAGGAAATTATAAATTTCGAATATTAATACTGTATTTTTTAATTAACAATGTGTTTATTGACGGTGGATTTAACGCACTTATGTTGACTTAACCGAAATATATTATTAATAAACACAAACCTTCAATAAAAATATTTAGATGTAAAAATTGTACAAACATGTATTTGACGATTATTTGGTCAACAATGAATTCAAAATTTTATTTGTAATGCTTATATTAATACTGTATTTTTAATACTTTATATTAATACTGTACATTCAAGAAGTTTAAAAAATCGAATAACTAACTCTAAATTTACACATCATTAGGATTAATATAGAAAAGAACATCAACAGTTTTTGCATTTTCAAACAAATTTTAAATGAACTTTCGAACAAAACTGATTTTTTAAACAAAAATATTTTATATGTTAAAAGAAATGCTTATTTCTATTAATTGGAAAAAAGATTATTATTATAAATAACTAGTCGATGAGCCCGGCGTTGTCTGGGCAAAATGTAACGAAAGCGAAAATTAAGATTATTACATTATAGATAATCTTACCCGTTTTCTCAGAGTGCAAGAATTAGGTTAACCTGTTTCCAGACTAATAGAATATTTTTAGATGGGTCTAACAATATGTTCGATTTCTCGCGAAAACGCAAAAAACCGCATCTGCGCTTGTAAATCTTGCACGTCGCTATCTCTTAACACTTCAATTGTTACTTAACCACTTTCATCGTTAACACTTTCATTGTTATCAACATCTCTCCCCGCGGGGGGAATTTCAAAAAATCCCTTCTTAGTGTACGTTCTCATGACGCACCCTAATTGTGTACCAAATTTCAACCTTCAACTCCCAACCGTTTGGGCTCTGCGATTCTTATTATTATTCGGAGTGGCTATTTCAAAGGGCAATTTTGGCAACTAAAAATAATATTGTCGACGATATCGACTTTAATATTAAAAAAAATTCAGAACTGGCAAGAGCTCCTCCTCTTTTAAGTTTGGGCATTGTATAAAATATTAATCAAATCAACTTTTCATTAACAAATACACTAAGTACCTTTATACAGTTTTCACACCTTATTTTCGATTTATATTCAGTCACTGTATCACTTTGATTACTCACACTTCACTGTTTGTTTTTATTCACTCACTGCGCTACTTTGGAATTTTCACTTCTTTTTCGGTTTTTCCCTTTGTCACTGATAAGAAACGGACGTTCGAACCCACGACAGATCTTTTTTTATATACCCCCACCAATGGGTAGTCCCACCCATACAAAACAGGGTTTCAATGGTCCACAATATTTCAAAACGTTCCACAACATTCGAGAGTGTTCTGGAATATTCCACAATGATCTGGGATGTTCTAGAATATTGTAAAATGCTCTCGAACACTCTCGAATGTTCTGGACTGTTCCAGAAATTTCTAGAGGGGGGAAACTTCCAGCCCTAATATCTTTAACAGCATGCCCTTCGGGTAAAAACTAGATCCTTCTTCATGGATAGAAGATAGAGGGCTACTACACCATATAACTCTCTTGATCGTATCTGGACTCGTTTTTGAGTTTTAGAGGCACGCACATTGTACACTTACCTTTATTTTATATATTAATTACATATAGTAATTAACAAGGATTCAATACTCAAAAACTTTATAAACTGCAGCCAAATATATCATCAATTTCAAACGTTTTCGGTCATCTTTAATGACCTTTCTCAAGAACGAACGAAAATCGAATGATGACTGATTTGTATTAACGATAAATGCGTTTTGAAACGTTTACTTAAAATAAACTTTTAGTGTGCAATCTCGTGCCATTGGATTACCGTTATAAATGGGCATAAATAAAATAAAATAAAACAAACATAAACTGATAAGATACATCAATAAATACATAGATAAAAATAAAATAAAATAAAAATACTAAAACACAACCATAAAAGCAAAAACATCAAAATGCATGTGTAGCCAGTTTTCACACTTAATATGCATGCTTTTCTAAATGTTGTCTCACTATTTAATGTCACTTCGCTTCAGTTCTTTCCTGTTGAAACGTTACAATATGCTTGATCTCCATGCTGCCGATATCTTAATTGCTTCTCTAAAGTTGATTGCTTGTTCTTCTTGACTGGTTTTTTAAATATCCCAAGTCTCTGCATACTTCAGGTGTTTTTTGTCGTGAATTTTTTGTATCAACTTTGCTTCATCCCATTCCTCTATAGCTTCTGGAGGGTCTGCCAAAATGTATGTTGCTAGTGCTGTAACTGGCTGCTCATTTCTTATGCTTCTTATGTGCTCTGTCAGTCTTTCTTTGAGCGATCGCCCTGTAGCTTCAATGTAAAACAGCTCTTTCTGCCGCCTTTTATCTGTTATTGTAATTCTATATACTCCGGGAAGAAGGTTTCGGTCTACGTAATCTTTGTCTGCTTTTAACATTTGACAAACTGTTGGATTCCTTTTGTGAATTATTGTTTTCTTTGTTGCTGCTCTAATTATTTTGTAGACATTGTTTAGCGGGGCTCCCGTATTCCATCAGTTTATACTCTTCTATTTTATTTCTTATATTCTGCTGGTTTCTGCCTGTTTTTGTTTTGTTTCGCAACATAGTCGTTAATTAATAAAAATGTTCAAATATATGAGTGTTGATAATAACATAAAGTACTCAGCATATCATTATACATATACAAATACTTAACACCTTATTCTTGCTGAGAAATATAATTTATTCGAAACAAACTAACGTTTTCAGCCTGATTCACAGGCCATCTTCAGGTTTAGAATACATTTGAATTAAAATTCCATCAATGGAATACAAAATTTAAATTCAAAATTAAATAAGGTACAATTAAAATATTAAATAACCAACATAAAACAAAAATAAAATATAAAAAACAAAAATATATAAATATGCAACAAATGAATATATAAGTATTAATAAATGCAATTACTAAGACATTCAATAAAACTACTATATTGATTGGTTAGAGCCCTTATTAAACTTCTTAACCATAAACTTCCATGCAGAGGGAAGACTTTCTGCGTCCCTCGCATTTAGACAGCCTTCTTGTAATCTACTCCTATAAATCTGCAACTTTTCCGCTGTCAACGCCAAAGATGGAGAAGATAAAGGATTTATGATGGTCGCCTCATTCCATTTGACTATAGCTCCTGGTGCTTGTGCCATTTGGGACAAAATTGTTGCATTAGACCCCTTTCTGATATTATAACTATGTTCCTTGATTCTAAGCCCTAAACTTCTAAATAGAAGTACCAGAAAAGATCAAGAAGCTTCTAAAAAAAGGCCCAAATTTTGTTCCAGTGGAGGCTATGAATTGGGAAACCTCAGTACAGGAAATTGAAAGGGGCATTGTTGGGCTAGACGATTTAGAAAAAGAGTACTTCAGATGGAAAGCAGTCCTTAACAACAGACAGAGGGACCGAAAGCAAGATATTAGAAGTAGTGACATCCGGCTCACTAAGAATTGGTTAAAGCAGAATGATTTGGTGTTGACTAGGGCAGATAAAAGTAAACAACTAGTCATCATGAAAAGGCGTACGTATAACGAGGCACTAATGGATTACATCGAAAAGACAGAGTGTGAAAAGATCAACAGCAATTTTATTGGAAGCTTGGATAGAAGGGTCAGGAAGCTAGAGGTCTCTAAACTTTCCAAAGCTTTGCCTTTTCTCAAGAAGTGCAGGAACCCTAGACCTGGAACACCTAGGTTATTTGCTTTCGCTAAGGTGCATAAAACCGGTAAAGAAATAAGACCGGTTGTAGAGAAATGCAGAGGTCCCACGTTTGTGTTAGAAAAGAAGTTGCATGAGTATTTATCCTCTCAGCTAGACACAGATACTCTAGTTGCACGTGATCCTATGAAGGTGGTTAAGGATCTGCAAAATATAGCATTAATGGAAGATGAAGTTGCAACTGTTTTCGACTATGAAAGCATGTATCCGTCAGTAAAGATAGAATCGTGCGAGGAGGCGCTATTGGATTTCTTATACTGTAATAACTCGGAATTGCTTAGTTATACTGAAGAAGTAGAGAGTTTGACTAGTTTGGTCTGCCGTGAATCTTGTTTCGCTTTTAATGGACAGATCTACAGACAGAGAAGAGGGGTCCCTATGGGAAGCCCGCTCTCAGGGATCCTATGCGAATTGGTAGTTAGGAGACTGGAAAGAAGAATTTTTCATGGTTTTAAGGAGGATATCATGTATTTTAGCAGATACGTTGATGACCTACTTATATTATGGAGAAATAACAGCAGAATTAAGGATTTTTTGGATAAGATCAATGATAACAATGATGGCCTTACTTTAAGATTGGAGCAGAAGAGTTCCTTGAATCTGCATTTTCTCGACATCGATATTACATTCAAAAAAGGCCACCTGTCCACTAGCGTTTTTATTAAACCATCCCACAGCCCATTGTATATTCCCTCCCAATCCAAGGATCCGTATAAATATAAAATTGCAGCTTTCAGAGCTTTAATAAGAAGGGCATTTTTGTATTGTGAAAGAGTACAAGACAGGAGGAAAGAAATAAATAGAATAATAAACGTAGCCAAGACCCTAGGTTACCAAAAAAGTACAATTCTGGGAATAGTTAGGAAATATGAAGCCAACATCAAGAAAGGGTGTTTTAAAAATGCTCCCAATAGATTCGTAAAATTTACATATAATGAAAGTATGAATACAGTCATGAAAGAGATTGCACACAGAAAAGGTTCGAGGATGCTTATAAAAAGGGCCCCTAATTTATACAAAATCCTCAGGAATGATAAAGATGATATAAGGTCAGAAGAGAAAGCAGGGGTTTATAAAATTCCGTATGAGAACATGCAATTGGGCGTTAAAAAAGACTACATTGGAGTAACCACTAGAAGTTTAGGGCTTAGAATCAAGGAGCATAGTTATAATATCAGAAAGGGGTCTA